GCTTGCCAGGCAGGCGCTTTGCCACTGAGCTAAATCCCCAGCCCCTTTTTTTTTCTTTTTTCTCCCAGAACACAATCAGCCTGGGAAATTCCCTTTCCCCTGGAAAATGGTTTGTCATTCAATATTTTACTTGCAAATGGATTTCTTCACCGGTGACTAGACCACTCTTCCCACTTGTCATTTTGGTTCTTCCCTATGAGTGGTTCACTATCTTCCTATCTGTGGGCCACTGTTTTAGTAACCCAAGGAAGAACTTCCTACAGTTTCACAAGTGCCGCAGAACTTACCGCCAGAAACACATAAACATTCCCGTCTCCAAACTGAGTGCAGAACTTTTATATTTCTTTCTAATAAATCCCTTTGTACTTCTTACTGATGCATCCTAAAAATTTGTTTTCAGAGATGGGAGTCAGTGAACCTGCAAATTAATTCTATGAGTAGAATGGGTTTAGGAATCTCCTAGGACCCTGTCCAGTGACAAAATGGCTGCTTCAAACCTTAAATCATTGAGAATCATTGCATAAAATCTGCACAAACTTACATTATCTTTGGAAGTATCAGAATATATTCAATTACTCACTTTTCCTGATACCTTAATCAGCATTATTTATCAGAAATATATTCATATGTTTAAAACTGTTTTGACGAAAATGATTTCCTATTGCTCTTTTCATCTGCATTCCTTTACTTATGCACAGAATTAACCATCTGTTCCTCTACTTACTAAACATTTTTTAGGTTATCTGTTCATGTAATATACCTACTTTTCTACAGGGTATCTTTTATTTGTTTGCTTTATTTTATGACCCTTTCCTGTTCATATTGAAGGAGGAACAGTCACTGCCCCAGCTAACTCTGCTTTAGCTGTCTCTGGTCTCTCAATCCATTCGCCTTTCTAACAATTTTTCTTTCTGAGTCATTCTCTTATTAGATTCCAGGAATGAGTTTTTTGTTTTGTTTGTCTGTGACTTGTTGTTCATGTTTTGGTTTTTCAAGTACAAGGTAGTGAACACAGGGTCTTCTCACCAAGCTTCATCACGTTATTTATAGTTCTTTTTTAAGGTTAAATATTTTAAATAGACTTGACTTCACTAAATCACTAAGGCTGAGCACTTTCTTTGAATGCTTCTGACTCTGCCTGATTGAGTGCCTGGACATAGGCTTTAGCCACCCCACCTGCCTCAGTGAGTATCCTTATGACGGGGCACTGAAACTTCCCTCAAGCTCCGGGGAGCCTCACAGAACAGGGCACCCCATTAAGAGACTGTTGCCTAAGTGTCAGCAATTACCCAGTGATTAGAACCAATACTCCCCCCTCAAAGAATGAGCTGCATTCTGACAAAGGGACTTGAATTATACCCTCAAACATTTATGGCCCTCCCAGAATATCACAAGATCAGTTATGAGGTACTAATCAACTAGACCACAGTTTGACCAGAATTATCTATCTTTCCCAAGGAGCAATCCCTCAACCCTTGCCTTCCTTTGGTTACTGTCCAAAGTGGGTTGGTGTCTCATGAAGTCAAAGATGAAATTATACACAAAGGAAGCAGGTGAGAGGAATGTTTATTTGAAGTGTAAGAAAACAGAAAGAAAGCATCCAATAATCAGGAAGAAAATCCAAAAAGGGCTGCCATAGTTTGCTGTTTCGAGGGTACTTTATAACTAGGAGCCAGGTCTCTGGCCATAAAAGTTGAAGCGGGATTAGCCTATGGCATTTGGGTATGGATTGTCCATGTTCTCATATGACCTATAGGAAAAAACAGCATGTATAGGGATCAGTACTGCTAAGGCTGATCAACCCTACTCCACCTTAAGCTCTGTCCTTTCTTAGCTATTTATTTATAAACTCAATGGCTAAACTATCTCTTGCAGTTCCTTCTTTGCACAAAACTTTAAAATGTCTATCAGCCCCTCCATGACAGCTCTTGAACCTATTTGTCCCTCCTACCAGATATTGCCATGCACAGTAAAGCTTTTTACTTCTTTCACCACTGCTTATTTCTTTCACTGATGTGCTGGGACTGGTGGCCACACTTGTTCTCTTGGAACTCCCAGAGGTAGGGTTTCACTCTAAACTTCAGCTAACAGAATGGGATGTGCTCATATCGGAATGCAGGAAACTTGAATTTGTTGTAACGTAGATAGCACAACTGTATGAGATAGCTCCCCTTTACTCAGATGAGCCACTCCCCTCCACTGCCCTGAACCCAGGCTGAGCCCCAGAGCTTACCACAAGCTGGTCGGATGAGGAAAAAGAAGACCCCAAGTCTACCCTGGAAAATCTGAAATTTCCAAAGACACAGACGAACTAAAGCTGTGTGCATGACCTAGAGTAAACTTTCTTCCCCTGAAGCTCATGGAAAGTTCACGAGTATGGCTTGCTCCTGATACTTAGAATTCCAGAGGAACTGGAATACTTAGAATTCCAGAGGAACAGAGGAAGTGTGGGAAAGCACGTACAAAATAAATGCAGAGGACGCAACTCAGCACCCCGTCAACGACGCTATCCGCATGCTCTCAAGGACCCCCCTGGAGGAATCTTAGGGCAGGTGGAGCATCGGTGCCATCTCTCTTTCACCAGTGTGAGCCCGCCCACTTGAGGAGTGCTTTTCTTTTAAGAAACTTTGCCACTGTATCCTTGACATTTTATGCCAAATCCAATTCTTTTTTTGCCGTACACAAGAGCCTAGGAACTCATGCCTGACTCCATGACCCATGATAAAGTTGTACTTTCTCAGACAGCATTTTTCTAGTTTATTTGCCTTTTAATTTGTTTACAATAGCATTTTCCAGTCAAAAAATTTGTACTCTTGAACATTCCCCGATTAGTCATTATACCCACGTATTTTTCCTGTACAGATCTTCAGAAGATTTAAGCCATATTAGAGATCAGGATAAAAATGAATCCAAAATCTATTAATATACTAACCTATTTCCTTGGATATTAAAAACTACATTATAAATTATACATCTAAAACACCTTGGGCTTTACCAGTGTTGGGGGAAAAATTGTATGCTTATCTGAATTCCTGACTTACCTTTTAGATATGAGTTAATTGTAAGACAGAAAATTTGTCTAAGGGCAATATTTTAGTACCATATATCATTTGGATAACTTTCAGTTATAAACTTGGAAATGTCATAATGACCTCCAAGGTATATATTCATCTTTCTCTAAAGCACAGAGTGATCTACAACATGCATATTTTAAAGCACTTAAATTAAAATTTTTAAATATTGAAATACTTTATGTAAGATAGAATGTACAATGATATAAAATATGAAATAAATGTAGCAAAGTGAATTTCATCACAAAGGCCAAACAAATGTTTTTTCTGAAAATGAAACACATTAAACATTGCTTGGAATTGCTTTAAGACGATATAAGCACTAGACAATCCACTTGGATCCCCATCGGTCCCTCTCTCAGACAGAAGCTTTCTTTCCCTCAACAAAAATATTCTGCTGTTAAAAAAATTAAAAAAGATATAAGAAAATTTTACAGTTATTGAGTGCAAAATCTTATACATTATCAGATTTACTTCTTATAACTACAGAAACTAATGCCTCAAAGTCATGCATATTAATTTTCTTCACCAAACAGGTATTTATTGAGCATAGTATAAGATAACATTGTATGAAGAACTAACCCTAAACCTGGTATGATGGCACATGCTTGCAATACGGAGGCCAAGGCAGGAGGATTGCTGCAAGTTTGAAGTCAGCCTGGCCTACATAGTGTTCAAGGCCAGCCTGAATTACATAGAGAGGCCTTGCCTCAAAACAAAACAAAACAAAACAAAACAGCAACTAACTGTAACCTCCTTCCTTTTATAAAACTACAGAAAAATGACAAAGTGAGAGTTATCAATGGATTATATACTTGGCTATAAAGTGAAATCTACAGAATAAGCATAGTAGCTGCTAAGAAAAAAATCTAGGATTTTGATCCCACTTGAATGGTCAAGCTTATCATGTGACTGGTGTGTTAAAACCAGATTCCTCCACATAAAGGAAGCTCCTAAAGCTATGATCCAGTCCTTAAATGTCTAGAGTACCCATGAGATGATAGCATTGAATGCAATCCCCATACACAGGGAAGCAGCAGCCTTTGGGTAGGGAAATGACAAATTCAAGATAGTCTTTTCAGTAGAGTATGTAATTTGTCACCCAATATAGATGTGAGAGTGAAAGAAAGGCTATTAAAAATTATGTCTAGAGAATAGGATAGACCTGAACTCCTAAGAATGTTCTAGACAAAGTATAACTAATAGTCATTCCATTGATCATTGTGGGAAAGGTTTTGCTGACCTCTCAACAAAGACAGAAAACACCAGCCTGAAGCAAATGCTTTCTTTTACTGCTGCAGCTTCAAGAAATTCATATTCTTGCTCCTTTTATCATCCAACTGTAAGCCTCGACTCTTAGGAGATTTGTGATGGAGCAAATGCTAGCAGGATCCACTGTCTTATTCTATCTTATGGGAAAGATAAACAAGTGAACAATCCCAGAAGCACAGACATAACTTTTCAGACATCCCTGGTGGAGGTCACAGCAGCACCAGGTAGACTCCAGTTCACAATGCTTGAGTGGAAAATATCATCCTAAAATGTATAATATTAATAACGCCAGGATATTGTCATTACATGGATGACTTCTTTTAAATTTCATGGAACTTTGACTACCATAAGGTCTCAGAGTATCAGGAGTGACATGTAATCTTGAAATCTTGATTTGTGGGGAATGCCACCAGGCATTGCAAGCATGACACCCTGACCAATACCATCCCTTACCATCTGCTCTGTAGCATCCTTCCAGATTTGCTCCTGCACATGGACATGAGCATTACAAAAAACTGAGAAGTCTAATTTCTTCAGATACAGGAATTTACTAATAAGCAATGCAGCTCAGGAAATTCTTTCATAAATATAAAATGTTGCCATGTGTAGATTCAAATACAGATACATAATTGGTGTCATACATTACACATGGTCTCTGAATTGGATTGGAAAGTAGGAAATAGATTATGTGATGATGTTTTGATATCAGTTAACATTATGTGAGTTTTCGTTGATTTGTTATTTAACCAATGTTGGATTTTGATATGTATTATGTTGATATTATATTCATCTAGTTCCCACACACAAAATAGTGAATCAACTCCCCAGGACCCCTTCAGTGACACAGCTTGTTCTTGCTTTGCATCTGAAAACAACTACACTTATACAATTAGTTGAATTTACTTGCTTCTGCTGCATGTATTTGTCCTGTATTATAATGCATAATAAATATAAACAAATAGTTACACATTAAAATAAATTTTAAGGAGGAAATATTAAATGCTTTTATGCACCTTTTAATGTTTAAATGCTCAGAATTACTTGGCGGTATATAAATTGCTTTCTGAGCCCTTTAACTGTTTCAAAATAATTTGGGTTAAGCAATTACCAATAAACAGTATACGAAATTATGGAATCCCACTGTATATGAATATTGACACTAAGTGCCCTATAGACTTGGGAAGAAACATCATTTGAAGTACTTCGCAATATGCAATCAACAAAAAAAAGCAAAGCCCAAATGAATTCCACTTTGGCTATGACCAAAAATATATTTGCATAGATAAGAATAAAAATAATTACATAAATCTACATCAGAAGTTCTTTGGCTAGAAACATCTGAGAAAAAACATGATTTCTACCTGAATATTATGACTTGTAAGATTTTTGTTGCTCAATATTGACATAGGTAAAGAAATGAGTATATAAAGCTAATCAAAAATATCTCACACACAGCGCCTGCCTGGCAAGTGCAAGGTCATAAGTTTGATTCCCAGTACCGGAAATAAACAACAACAACAAAAAATCTCACACAAAATTTTTAAGGAAGCAGTCCTCATGGACTAATATCTTTGTAGCTTGACAAGATAGGGTATAATATTGTTTTGTATTATATTTTCTTCATCAAACATGTATATCTGTGATCTAATTAATGCCAAATGCAAGGAAAGTGTGATAGAAAGTGTACATATGTATGAAGTTATATGTGCAAGACTGGCCACAAAGGGCATGAAATACCTTTCCTCCTTATTGTACTCTCTTTTAAACACTTCAAAATTATCTGTACATCAGCAGTACTTTTTCTTCTATGAATCTCTCTAAGATAAACAGTAATTGAAAAATGTAGTGTGCATTTAACTTAAAAATTGTTACAGTGAGCAACACCCTGCCATTAACACCCTTCAAAGTACTCTGTCACTTCAGATACACTTATCCCATGATTTTTACCACTTCCTTCCTGAGTGTCATTAGTTACAGCACTGTGGCTTCGTTGATGTCCTGAATCCACTCAAAATGCTCACTTTTCATGGTGCTTTGACTCTGGGGAACAGACAGAAGTTGCATGGTCCCAGATCTGGCAAATAAGGTGAATGAGACAGCCGAGGACACACTGCAACGTCTTCACAAGCCTGCCTTTCAATGGACAGTACATCGCAGCAACATTCACAGGATTTTTTATCATACACAGAAAATTCACTTTTGAAAGAAGACTTCCAGAGCTGCTTCAGAAAGTGCCAAGAACATTAGGATAAATGTAATTGAAGTAAGGGGGGGATATTTGGAGCAGAATTAATGGCAATGTGTCATTTACAGTAGTAATTTTTTAATATCCACCATATATTTCCATACCCCATTGTAATCTGATATTTGGAAGATGATAAATGTCTTACCTAAAGATCTCCATAAA